AAGAAGAAGATGAAGATGAGGAGGAGAAGGAAGAGGATGATGAGGAGGAAGAAGAGGAAGAATCATCATCTTCATCATCCTCATCATCTTCATACTCTTCTGTGTGTCGTCCATGTTCAACCACTTCGCCATCAGACCTCAACAAAACAGCACCGTCACAGCACACATCATTGTCACAGAGTTCTTCCATGCTGGAGTGTGAACGCTTGATTCCTCTATTCTCTTCCTCTCGTTTCAGCTGAATTTTGAGTTTTGTAGAACTGCTTCCTGAGCCCGCGGTAAACCCATTGCTGAGCTTTGCTACATAATTGTTACTATTTTTATCATTTTCATGGTCTTTGCTCAGTTTGATGCTGATCTTAGATTTCTTTCCATCTGTTTCTTGGTCATTGGTTTTACTACTGCTGCTGTCACGCCTTCGCCTCAGAGTCAACTTGGGAATCCCAGAACTGTTTTCAAGTATCAATTGTGCGTCATACCTTGTGATTTGTCTTTTCTTTTTGTTTCTTTCAGTTGTTCTGGGATATTCCTCTTTTATTTTATGACAATCTGAATTTTTTGATTTGTGGGAAACTACAAAAGAATCTGAAGCAACACCATTTGAAGAACCGACACAGTCTCGATATAGATCAGGTACATCCACTAGTTCTACCTTCTCACTACCATTAAGTTTATGAATTGGAGGAGGACTGATCAAATCAGGTATAGTTTCTTCCTTCACATCCTCCTTTACAGAACAAGGTAATGCAAGCTGGCATTCATCTAATTTTACAGCAAGTTTCCCTTGTTGTGACCTCCTTCTGTTTGAACATATGCCATTATCTGAAAAAGGTTCTTGGACCAATTTATTTACATGCATGTTGTCATTGACGTGTAGAACAGAACTTGGATGTTCCATCCCCCCTGTGCAATGAATACTTCCACGATCCATTATATTTGGTTCAAGCTCCAGTGAAGCAATGCTAGATGATCCTTCGAGAGCCAGTCTCGTTCTCTTTGCCCTCCGGGTCATGTAGGTGCAAGAAACCATTCCATCATGCAAGGGAGAAACCTTTTTATGCAGTTCTTTCACAGAATTGATGTTATTTTCTCGAATAGAATGTCTGGTCAGGCATCGACCCAAACCATCAACCTTTGCTGGTCCCTCTAGGTCTTTATCCTTTTCGAGCGGTACATTCTTATAAAGAACTACTTTAGGCTCCTTAAGAACTAAATTATCCATTTCAAGATTTCTAAAAGTGGTCTTGTGTTCGGACCTTCTAGATTCACTTCTTAACCTTGATTTTGAGGGCAAAGGCCTAACGGGCTTTGAGGTTTTAAATTTCTTTGGTACCTTGGAATTACCTACAGAACACGTTTTTGAAGAGGATGAGGTAGAACTAGTGGCAGCTGATGTTCTGGGCAAAGTTTGCCTTGTTCTGCTTTTGCTGTTCTTTTTCATGTTGATTGAAGATTTTCTACTTGAAGCTGTTACAATAAAAATTAAAGACTAATGAATATATATTGCAATTTCACAGTTTTTAAAAAAAAAATCAAACTCACAAGAGACTGCATTCTTCAGAGAATCAGAACTACATTATACCTAGGAAAACCGAGCAAGAGATCACATTTCAAAATCCTAGCCTCAGAAATGTCAAGATGTTAGCATTCCCCCATCAGAAGCCCTGCTGCAAGTATTTTTCCAACCAATACTTAAAAGATTGGTCATTCTAAAGTCTTATCCTGGAGGATTCCTTTCAAAGAGCACCCTCCTCTGGCCAGAATTTTATATCCAAATCAGACAAATCTGGAGTTGAGCAACTGAAGGCACCACCTCCTGTGTATTTGGCTTCATTTTAGGGAATTCATTCCTTCTCAGCATCAAGACCATTCGATAATGCAAATTGATAATATTGCAACCCCTGAATGAACTAAAGAGAAATCATAAGCCGGTTTACAATCTCACACTGGAAAGGTCAGTTTGTCGTTCACAGCTATCTCAACTTACTACAAAAGGACAAAGAGATTTTCATTACTTTAGAGTGCTAACTGCACTCAAGATAAAAAAATGTATCCAACTTCAGCTATCACTTAGTCTGTCACAAGTCACATTCCAGAATGCATTTTTAAAAATACATCCAAACATTGCACCTTCCATGCAGGGTCATGATACAATGTCTCATGCTGCTGAAAGAGGTTTGAAATCATGAATACATGACCATCTATCCAGGGCTTGGTATTTATATGTAGAGAGGTACCCAGGTGAACTGGTGGTACCACCACATGATAGGTAGGGGTGGAAATAAGCAGGATGCTGCTTCTAAAGTTTTTGAAGACAGATGGCACGTTGATTATCTGTCAATCTCGGTAGGCTGCTTTCAACATGGAGGACCCAGTTGTGCAAAATGGCAATGAACAGGCATGTGCAGTGTTTCCCAGCCTTTATACTACTGACTGTTGGCTCATGTCATCTGTCTTACAAGCAGAACAAAAGGGGAGTTGGGGAAAACACATTTTTACACAGTTGTTAAGAATATGGAATGCCCCACCCATAAAAATGAGAGAGACAAAGTCCATTGCAAGTATCGAGAGGGAAGAACACATGAATATGAAAAGCTGAGGCTTGAAGGAGGATAAGGGCTGTTAGATTGAAAGTACAGCTTATGCCAAGAGCCAATGCACTCTGTGGGCTGAATGGTCTCCTTCTGCTTTGTAAATTTCTGATTCCATGATTCTAATTCAAATATGCAGGATCGGAGCCTGCAAGAAGTTTAAAACTGATATACCAATATCAGCAGAAGCATTAAGAATGCATTGACTACCTTTTTCCTGAGTAATCTCTGCATCAGTGTTTGAGCTCACTGATTGGTTGTCAGAGTTCTTTCCACCATCCCCCAACTTTTTTAATCTGTTCAAACGCTTGTCGGTTTCTCTGAGTCCGTACTTGCTATTTATTACAGGTGCAGGGTCAGGAATGCACCTTGACCTGAATGCACCTTGCCCACGTCTGAAAGAAGAAGGAAAATTATTTTTAGTTCTCCTGCAGTAAAGGTTCAGTCATTGGAATTAGTTTTCAAAGCTACCATATCGCTGATCTATCCAACATTAAGACATTGGACCTAAAAAATGAAAATATGGTAGAGGAATTCTACTGTAAAAACTGCAATTTTAGCATTAATATTGAACTTTTCATTGTCCTTTTTGGGTCTTAACGAAGTCAAAATCTTATTTTGAAACTAAAAATCTTTGTGGCAGGCATTTAAGAGGAAGTTATACATTCACATGAGGAAGAAGGGAATAGAAGAGTATGGGAGGGACTAAGGAGTGTGGGGGGGGGGGGGGGGACTCTTGTGGAGAATAAACATCCGCTCAGACTAGTTGGGCTGAAAGCCCCTTTTCTGTGCTGTACTGTCTATGTAAATCTACAGTAACGACATCCTCCCCAGAATCGCCTAGCAGAGTACTATCCTGTCCTCCTGCGGTTGTGAAAAAATATAAGCTGAATTTTTTCACTGCACAACAATGGTTTGGAACTCTTGGCACAACATTCTGGGTGAAAAAAAAAATAATTTGCTGTTTTACCAGGGGTCGAGTTCTCCATTTGTCAGGGAAATTTATACCAATGAAACTTAGTCACAGTTCTCATGATAGGAAGTTACATAATCAAATTAGGAAATGGCATGTCATACCTCTCACATGTATAGCATTCACAGAATTCATTATTTTCTCCAAAGAATCCATCCCCATAGTAACAAGAGATCTCTTCTCCTGGTTCAATATCTCTTAATGCTTTTACACAGGCTGTATCCCGACCAGTTGAAACAAACTGTAAAGAAAACAAATCAAAAGTTCTTAGTCTGATTCCAATCTTCAGTTTCACAAGAGAAAATTGAACTGGCTTTGTTTGCTTTGTGGGTAAAGGCACTGCCAGATGTAATGCTAAGCCACACAAACAAGACACTGCCAGGTTAATACATGCTGAATTGGCTAGTCAAGCCTGTCAACATGCACTGACCAAGTGAAAAAAGGCTACTTAGCTAGAATCCATACCCCATTATAAATTAACAAAAACAATGTGGTGGTGGCAGTGGCGGCTGCACATGGGAGAAAGAGAAGAAAAACTGTGGGCGGTTGGGGGCAAAATACTGATAAAGGGGAGAAAAGTCACAACTTACTTTACAGTTGGGTCTGCAATCTTGAGAGAACACCAGACCAGAAAGAAAAGAAAACAAGTCATTAGTACTTGGTCGTGGTGAAAACAATTATTTTTAAAACGACAGACTATAGTAGAAACATGAATAACCAACATAAACGTGGAATCAGTCAGCACTTTGGCCCAACAGATAAAGGATGTTGGTGCTGGAGAATGTTAATTACCACTTTGAATTTTAAGTTACTATATGGCTGTTGTATAACTTTGTGAGTTACTGATGTATTGAGACTTTGCTCTCATTGAAGAGAAGAACCCGAGTGCATGTTTGCCCTTACTCAGCAAAGTCCCGACGTACAGTGTCCAAGTAAAAGTTGGTGTCCATAACAACCCCCAACACATACAAAATTGACAAATGGTATGTATCTTTCAATCGATAAATTTGTGATCCACTCTCAAGAGAGCTATAATATCAGGGCACACACCATCATATCCAACTGAGAGGCACAGTGTTCAAGATGGTGAGTGCAGTACACAAGATCTCAGGTGAGTATCCCAACAGCACAATGTAATCTGCAAATTGAAGCATTGCAAATCTATCAAAGTTGCCTGGATCAGACACAGCAAGTTAGTTCCTCTTGATGCCATCCAATATATAGATGAACACATTGAATGGACGACCTTGCTCCCCATCACCTCCACTTCTATCAAGCCTTAAACCAGTAGTAACTATTACATGGTCCACAAGCCAGACGTGCCCATGGGGCCATTATGAAGTGGCCCGCCAAACATTTGCACGAATCTAGGTGTTATAAATTAATGTTTTTTTAAATTAATGTTTTGTTTCCAGTTTTTTTCTTGATTGAATAATTGTGGCGTAAATCAAGAAATATTCAATCATGAAAGTGTATTTTGTTGGCTGACCAAACACATTGGATACCACAGTCTTAAGCACATCTTGGAGTTGGGACACATATCCTGGATAAAGTCCAAGATTTGGCCATGCATTCCCAGTTTCTTCATGAGTGTTTCATGAAGCGCTAGGTCAAAATCCTTAAGGAAATTGATAAATACAATTTAGGAGGAATTCAAATGAGTAATTTGATATGAAGCCATATCAGGCCCAACACACAATTCATGAGAATGCCGATGTTTATCAGGGAACAAATGCAAAGGAGAAAAACAAGTTCTGAGGGATATATATAGCTTGAGGAAAGTTCATAGCAAAAAGAAATCCAGACAAAATTGAGACATTACGTGTACTTCTCATAGATTTTGTACTAACAAAATCTTTTTGTGACCTTTTGAAACACTAAAGTCTCCATACCATGGTTAATAAATGCAGCAGGTCCAAGCCAAAGTTGAGCACAATTCTTCCTGGTTGAAAACATAACACTAAAGTCATTTTCTCCGTGACGAAGAAGCATATTTTCCTCCATCTCCGATAGCTCTGCAATGCAGCCAACCAACAACTCGATCTTGTCGTTCTTCTTCCTATTTTTAATCAATCATACAAAATTAAGAATTTTAATTCACAAAGTTAATAAAGCCATGAGAATAACCCAGTCTTGGAACAAATATTGCAAGATTGACAAGGGTGGAATAATTGAGAATTGATTGTCTCAAAAAGCCAACCAATTAATTTTTTACAATTTGCTAACAACCTTTAACAGTTAAAAGTATGATAATTTAAATTATTTATGTAACTGTTCCAGAGATTAGAACACAATCCTACCCTGAATAATTCTGACTATGGCAGAAATACATAAGCAGAACATCGCCATGTATGTAATAAATGCTTTGAGATGTCCTCCCAACTTGAAAGGGCCTATATACATGTAAATTGTACTGTAATAAGCAGTTTTACTCATCAAAAGAATCAGGGTAGATGTGGGAGGTATCAAGAAGCACAAATAAAGGCAATATTTCCACCCTGTATAAAACATAATGCTTTAGTCCTCCAAAATTAAAACTCATTTGTGAATTGTGTTTTGTGAGGTTTCTCTTAAAGATCCAGAAATACTGCATTTCTTCCTTTTACCAGACATGGCAAACTCAAGGAAAGCATTTATAACTAACCCCATACACACATCAACAAGACGTTATCTAAAAATTAGGAGTGAATCGAAAACCTACCATTCCCTTGTTGCAACTATCTTGGCTCCATTCTGCTCTGACGAATAACGATCTCACACACAGATGCACACAATCAAACATTCCTGTGTGAAATACAGAATTGTACAAGAGAATGTGGGTCATTTCTTCCAATGAAGGACTCTAATGATTCCCTTTTGTGACCAGAGGAGCCTCTCTACAAGTACTTGGCTCCTTTACTAATATTGGAGTTATTGTTGAGCTGAAGCATGGTAAAGGGAAAGTTCCTCACATCAATGGCTGGTGTCATTATCCCATTCTCTTCCATTATATTATCCATGATTCTTTTCCTGGTTTCTTACTCTTCCAGCATCCATTGGAACACTGTTTTGATTCTTTCAGCATTCAACACAATGTATTGCATTGTATCCCCTCCCAAATAAAACTGGTCATTCACTCCACGGTTGTGCCTAATACTTTCTGGAATGGCTGCCACATTTACCTACAAATTGCACGTCACAGTCAAATCTTCTGAAGCACTTTGGCATGTCTTGATGATGTGGTTAGGTACGATACAGAATACAAGGATTATCATGATTGTAACACATCAAAGTAAGACTTTAATATACATTGCATGTCTTCCCAGCAAATCAGCTATCATTTTCTTATGCATGCCTACACTTTAAATTGAAACAACAAAATATAAAAACAGAGTAATTTCACTTGATATTTTACTAAACAGTGAAGTGCAGACTTATAGTCTTATTCATTTGTAAAATATCCCTTCCCTTCTGGACTCAGTACATCTGTTGCTGATAAGGACACACCACTAACAGCGCCTCCCACCACGCTGAAGCCAGTTGTCTGCCAGAAAGCTGATGAGGAATCTCTGAGGCTTGGGGTGACAGCTGCTGGATGGAATTACCTGGGGTCCGAGTTCATGAAAACGTGTTTGTACATTCAGCGCTTTATTGGCTTGCAGGCAGGTACGTTAGCTGCTGCTTAAGCTCTTAAGCTCCAGTCGGTGGAACCATCACTCAAAGGGAAGGCATATGTATCTGAGCTGTAGACTTGGCTCTTGCCAACTTGTGCTTAATACTTTCTGGAATTAGGTAAACAGGATGTGTCCCTCCAGTGCTCTTTCCATTCCAATAAACAACTCTGTAATTTCCAATGTATAGGTGGGATGCATAGAATTCTGTTTGGTTTGGATGCTCTTACGCATGGTGATGGGTTTCCACATCTGTCAGACACCTGGCTGACTCCCCGAAAAACACTACCTTTGTGTCTGCAGCAAGCTGCCAGGAGACAATCGAGAGACTTCCTAACCATGATTCTCCAATCTGCTTCTCCCTCACTCTTTGGTGACATTGCAGTTCGATATGTCCCCACTTGGCACAGCTCGGATCAGGAAGTAAGTGAGCAGAGCAAGGATATACCTCAGTCTCTCCCTTATTCTGATCACAAGGTTCAGTGCCACCACACGACAACAAGAAATATTATTTAAACACGTCTCCAATACTAGTTCTTCCTTAAACTGACTTTTGTTTCTCTCTAGTCTCTGACCGCTTGCCAGTCATAGTCTACGCCTTTGTGTTTTAGTTCTCTCTCTAGGATTCAGACATCTACGTGTCTGTAGATAAATCCTCGTCTTAATTGTCCACCTTCGCCTTGATAATTTTTTCTCTCTCACCCTTTGCCTTTCCGCTCTTCTTTTTCTGTGCTTCTCTCCATCTTTCTACATATCTTCTCTTGCTGTTGTAGCCTTGGTCTCTTATCTTACCTTCCCTGGTTCTCCATTTGCACACCAGCGCGTTCAGCTGTTTTTAAAGTTTCACCTGAACATTTTAACCTGAAATTGGATGCCCATGAGACCAGTAAGAGATACAGTTGTGAGCCAATTGCACTTTCAGATCTTTTTCTTGGTCGCAAACCCAGCAGAATAAATACACCTCTATGGCCATTGGGTACAACAGGCAAAGGAAAAAAAAGAAAAATGACTATAAGCCAAAGGCCATAATAATAGAGCAAGAAAACAAAAGAATCCCCCAAATATTTCTTTCACATGTGTACTTTCAATGCACGTCAGCTCTTTCAATTTCACACTTCTCTGACAAGACACAACTCACATTGGAGAATCCTATTTCAAAGAATTGACAGACTTTTTAATTATCAGCAGTTTAAGTGATGCTGAATACAAAAATAGGCAAGTATAATGAGCAATACATGACTCTTTGGGCTTAAATAAAAAGTGCACGTCACATTTTACATGTTTCGCATGTCAGAGATATTGAACTGTTTTTCAATCTGAAATTGTTCAGATATTATGGAAAATACATTTGACTTTGGTGCATGGAAAGCAGGCAACTGTGCAGTGTGCCGGTTATAGCAGTCTTTCATTTTGATATTTCATTTCTGTCACAATCTTATCAATTGCTGTTCAGTGCGATCAGCAGAGACCACGTTTGTTTTGACTGAGGTCATAACAAAAAATGTGCTTGCATTGCATTTCGCAACACCAATGAATTTTGCTACATACAGTATGAGTACTGTCGGTCTCTGTTGTGCTGTGCTACAATGGATGGGGCAGATATTGATTTAATGTGGGACACCGTAAAAGTTTTCTTGATCGTCTTTTGAAAGAGGATGTGCTTGCAACAACCACTTGAGCTTCACTCCATCTTGCCCTGTCCCCCAAAATACTATACAGTACCAGCAATTCAAAACAGTACCTTCGGTCACAGCTCAAGTTATTACTTACCCTGATGCACTTTTAACCCTCAGAGTTTAATCTTGAGTGGCACGCAAAATAATCCTGTTGTTGTCTTGTTCCAGCAATAGAGCAACTGAAATAAAAAAGAAACACCTTAAGTTGAAACCCAGTCTGTTTCAATCAAAGGAATTGTTCTGATTGCTAAGCAACAATTATAGCAGGTGTATACTGCATAGAAACCTTTAGTTATTTAAAAACCTGGACTTCTATTTGAATGCTTGGTATCTGAGCTTGCATTTAGATATCTAAGGAAGGTGGCTTGAGAGATCCTTTTAGAGGTGTCCTCGATTTCATTCTTTCTCTCTCAAAAGGATAGTTGACTGTAAATGTGGTCCTGTTCAACCCTTTTAAGGATGGAATGTGCAATAACTCTGAATAGTAGGAACGCTTGAAAGACAAACATAGGAGTGAGTATTCATAAAGCTAATATTAGAATAGCTGGGTAGTGCTGTGCACATTATGAAACAGGAGTAGAGAGTCACTGTGACTCAATCAGTATGTAGTAATTAGTCCTCGAATTGGTAATTGTGCAACTGACTGCAGATCAGTATAATTGTACAATATAATTACACAGTATATAGTGCTATTAACATTACTGACATGAAGTCATATTGTATACGTTCAAGATTCTTTACCCTGTTGTGCCTCCTGAAAATAACATCCCTATCAACCCTATAACTCTCCACGAGCCCCCAGTGTGTTTCTGTTGTCTGTCCAGGGAGACTGAGCAGAAATGGAGAGGTGGAAGGGAAAGGTGAAATAACAAGTCTTTCCCACAGCTCCTCCCAGGAGGCAGGGCAGAAGCAGGGAGTAGATCATGTGCCAGGCTTCTCAATCAGGGAATAATATGTGGGTGTGTTGGGAAAGAACAGCAGCTTACCAAAAAAAGGGAGAGAAATTAAAAACAATTGTGTGTACATTATAAGGGCACATATATAATTATACACATGCACACACTGGGCCTATTATTTATCATGTGTAAATGCTTGTATAAATATACATGCACAGGGGTAAATGTGGGTGCCCTTCATTGCATAATTAACAGCTAATGACAGGATTTGCATGATAAATTTCAAAACAATTCAATCTTTTTCTTGCCCTTTATCCATTCTTCTGTATCACTGAGGTTTTGGCCACTGTTAATGCAGACAGAAGATGAGCTTTGTGTATACATTTTATGGCTCTGGTGCATCAGTCTCAATGGCCTGACAAGCAACAAACAATAATTGTCAGTGGTGAGAAGTATGTGCTGGTCTTTCTGCTTTGAACGTTTGAGATCTGAGCTTGGTAAGTCTACAACTGCACTTTCTTCTGCTTTTGTCCAGGAGTCTTTGTCACTTGGCCTCAATGCTCCCAAACTAAAGAGGGAGAAACATCCTGCCAAGATTCCTGTTTTAGATTGTTATCTAATGAGCTCAGCTGAAAGGATGTGAGGATCAGGTGAGCACAGGACCAAGCTATTTAATTTATATTGCCCTTTGACAAGCCTCTAAAGTTAAATTGCTTGCCCTCACTCATTGTCTGGCCTCACACAGGTGACAAATTTCCATTTGGATGAGGGAACAGAGGGGCTGCCACATCCAGAGAAGCATACCCCGGCCTGGAGCACCACCTTCAGAAGAAGGCAATAGGGGAAAGTTAAAATTGGAGGGTAAACTAGAAATAAGTTGGGTGGGGGGGGAAGAATCTAGATGCAGTCATAACATCCAGATTTGACAATGCAAACTCCATGCCTGTCGGCCTCCCCAACTCCTCCCTCCGTAGGCTGCAAATCATCCAGAACTCTGCAGCCTGTGTCCTCTCCTGCACCAGACTCTGTGTCCCTATCATCCCCATCCTTGCCCGACTCCAGTGGCTTCCCATTACACAGAGGATACAGTTCAAGATCCTGGTCCTCACCTTCAAAGCCCTCCACGGTCTTGCTCCCCTCTACCTCTGCAAACTCCTACCAATCTGCCAGCTCCCTCCGCTCAGCGGGCTCCGGTCTGCTTCATGTCCCCTACCTTGCCCGCCCCACCATTGGCAGGTATCTCTTCAGCCCCTCTGCCCCCACCCTCTGGAACTCCATCCTGCAGTCCCTTAGTCTCACTTCCTCCCTTGCCTCCTTCAAGACCCTCCTCTTCGACCGGGCCTTTGATCAGCCTCCTTCCCCCCCCCCCCCCCCCCGCCTTCCACCCTCCTCGTTCCTGACCCCCAACTCGGGTCCGAAACAATGATTGTCCAGTGCCTTGGGATGTTTTCCTGACGTGAAAGGCACTATACAAATGTAATTTTGTTGTTGTTCTGTGTGGCTCAGTTTCCCTCTTGTCATTGAGT